TCCTTCACACAAAACACTTCCTTCGATTAAGTCCAGCACTTTTAACTCAATATATTAAGAATAAAAAACAACCACCTTAAAGTATACATAATCACAGCCACTCCAGAATAACTCATTTAAATAACTTTAACAAAAAAACGAACTGTATTTATACCACCTTAAAATGATTTATAACCACAGATACTCAAGTATATCTCATTTAAATAACATTTAACAAGCTATATTTATACTCTACCCGCTTCTAGACATCCTTCAACACCCTTAAAGCACTTCAATACATCCTTCTATACAGCTAAAAATGATATATAATCACAGCCACTCCAATATATCTCATTTAAATAACATTTAATATATAACATACTATATTTATACTCTACCAGCTTCTATACATTCTTCTACACCCTTAAAACACTTCATTACATCATTCTATACGTCTTAAAATGATATATAATCACAGATACTCAAGTGTATCTCGTTTAAATAACATTAAACAAACTATATTCATACTCTACCAGCTTCTGGACATCCTTCAACACCCTTAAAGCACTTCAACACATCCTTCTATACAGCTAAAGATGATATATAATCACAGCTACTCAAGGATATCTCATTTAAATAACATTAAAAAGCAGTATTTGGTACTCTACCAGCTTCTATACATCCGTCAATGGCCTGTGTGTATTTCTCCAGCGCGTCCCCAAACTGTCCATTCTTGAACAACATATTGCCCTGGTTTTTGAGCCGGGCTAGTGGAGGAGGAAGGGCTCCACACGGGGCGTCCAGATTACAGCTTTCCCCAGCAGATCCGGGTCCCTGAGGCTCATCCTGGCTCTTGCCGGCTGGAAGGCTGCCATTCGCTGCCGGGCTGCTGCCTGGGACTTCCTTCGAGTTGGCTGCGTTATTTAGTCCATGGCTTCTCCTGCGTCCCGGTGTCCCGGGTTGAGAGTTTGGGCCCCCTCCTTCTCTGTAACCGGGGCCCTTCTTCTGTGCATTGCCCATGGCTGCCCGATACAGTACAGCGAGCTCTCGTCCTCTCTCACACACACACACTCTCATGCACACTCTTCCTGTTCCCTGCGCAGATTGAAACAGATTCAGAGGACACACCTCCTGCTGTGACATCACTGGGAGGAGGGGTCTCCGCTGCTGCAGAAGAGTGGGGGTGGTTTTACTCTGAAGCAGCAGTTCTGAAAGGTTTCCCTCGTGCGGAAAATACACTGCAGAGACCTTCAGATGACACCGTTTAGGTTCAGTGGGCTCTCCAGGGTTTTTTATTTTATTTATGATGACATCTTTGTGATTGATATTGGACTTCAGAGTTAAAACAAGGCTGCTTGTTCTTTAGTCAAGAAATAAAGTATTGATTTTGTGCTTAAAAGGCTGCTTAATGTGATCAGCCGGTTGAACATTTTGCAGACTCCTCAGAAAAAAATGACTCGACTGGAAAATTTGTCACGAAATTGAACATTAAATTCTAAAGTACAAATATTCTAATTGTTAGAAATAAATTATTAGAAACAATGTTTATTAACATTTATTATTTTTATTTACAACTCAAAAAATTATACTTGAAATTCTGAAGGCAGGCAGGCATGGTGGCTTAGTGCACATCTCACAGCATGAAGGTCGCTGGTCCGATTCCCGGCTGCTTCAGTTGGCGTTTCTATGTGGAGTTTGCATGTTCTCCCCGTGTTGGCGTGGGTTTCCTCCGGGTGCTTCGGTTTCCCCCACAGTCCAAAGACATGCGCTTTAGGTGAATTGAATAAACTAAATTGGCCATTGTGAATGAGTGTGAATGGATGTTTCCCTGTACTGGGTTGTAGCCGGAAGGGCATCCGCTGTGTAAAACATATGCTGGATAAGTTGGTTGTTTATTCTGCTGTGGCGACCTCTGATTATTAAAGGGACTAAGCCAAATGAAATGTAATTCTGAAGTAAAAATATTGTAATTGTTATAAATATTATTAGAAATACTTTAAAATAAATTATTAGAAATAATATTTATTAACATTTATAATCTTTACTGACAAATTTGAAATTCTGAAGCAAAAATATAATTTTTAGAAATAATATTACTAAAAATGTTTTTAAAACCATTATTAGACAAAACATTTTTATATTAATAATCTTCATTTACAGGTTTAAAATTTTAATTTGATGTTTATTGATTTTCTTTCAGCTAAGTCCCAGTGGAATGAACCGCCAACTTATCCAGCATATGTTTCACACAGCGAATGCACTTCCAGCCACAATCCAACACTGGGAAACACCCATACATATTGGAAACTGGAGCACCCGGAGGAAACCCACGCCAACACAGGAAGAACATGCAAACTCCACACAGAAATACCAACTGACCCAGCCGAGGCTCAAATCAGCGACCTTCTTGCTGTGAGGCAATCGTGCTACTCACTGCGCCACCGTTATGTCTTTTTAATTATATTATCAGAAATAATATTAAAAGTAAATTATTGGAAATAATATTTATATTTAAAATCTTTATTTACAAATGTACAATTTAATCATTAAATTGAGGTAAAAAATATAGTGAAAAATATAGTTAGAAACTTAAAAAAATTAATTATTAGAAATAATATTTATATTTATAATCTTTATTTACAAGTTTGAAAATTAAACTTAAAAATTTTGTAATTATTACAATTAATTTTATAAAAATGTATAACAATTATTAGAAATAATAGTTTTTGATATTTATAATCATTATTTAATTCTTAAATTTTTTGCAACTTTGAAATGTTTATCAGAACACAAAGCATATCGGTATTTAAAAGCATTTTAGAATTAGGTAAAATGTTTAGGTCGGGTTCTCAAACTTTACAGCCCGCGACCCCGTCTATCCTCTGAGGTGGCTTATTGACTACACAAAAAATGCAGCAGTCTATTTTTTATAATCATTATTCATTTGTTTAATTTAATATTAATCTCACTTAATGAGAATAGTGAGCACAATGTTTATAGCACAAGACTATTCTTGGTTTAATTTTGGAGACTTGGAGCCACTTGGAAATCGTCCTCCTTGTTCAGTCGGGGCCTTTTTGTAATGTATGCGAGTGCCATAAAGGTGTCAAAAGTTTAACATTGTACTGTAAAATCAACCTGCTGCTTTGATGTTAATCTAGCATAATAACCCCAGTGAACGCAATCCAATGGATGACTTTTTTTTTGCATGTTTTTTTTTAATGTAACTATTAAATATAAGGTATATATTAAATATATTGTAAGTTAAAAATCATTGGCCCTAGTTTTTATATTCTGCAGGTTATGGATAAAATAGTTCTAATAGTTTAATAAAATATATGAGATTTTTGGAAATCCCCAAGTGACCCCCCCCCCCCCCCCCTCGCAACCCCCACTTTGAGAACCACCGGCCTCGGTCACTGTACAAACGAAGACCAGAAACCGTTTTGTAATGTAAACGTACAGTTGATTTTTTGTGAATGCGCCGTTATTAAAAAACAAAATGAAATGTTGCTCAGTGTTGTTTTAGGAACACAAATTTCTTGACATTTTGATTTAAAAATATAAAACTGAATTTTCTTGTAAAGCACACTCCGGCCGTCTTTATTTGATCACGTTGACAGTGAACTCTTTCTCAGATACACTAAAAAGATGGAAAATATTTATTTAAAAAAAATCAAAAAAGGGCTAGGTCACTGTGTAAATGTTAGTCACTTGCTGTATGATTTATGCATAAAATACAAATTTTATTCTGAATTTATTTGTACAGACCATATTTTAGTATCATTCACAAACCATTTAAAAAGAAATTAAATTAGTTTTCTTTTTCTTTTCTTTCTAAAATTCGATTCATGTCATTGTATTTGTGTGGGTTTTAATTTTTATTGAATTTATTATACAGAGACATTAACTGACATTGTTTAGGGTCACTAGGTTTTGGGTTGATTTAAGGGGCCCGGAGGCTTCTTTTTGATGGTGTCATTTCTGTGCCTTATTCACCTTATTCTCTGCCGACGAGCGGGCGCTGCCATTTGAATCTTTTTGTGTCGTGACTTCTGGTCACATTCACTTCCATTCATTTTTTGACGTTAAAAACTGCTGCTTGATGATGCAATTTGACATTTTCTTATTATATTATTCTACTTGGTCTGTATAGTCATGCAAACATTTGTTTGTAGAGCAAGTAGTTTGACCATTTTCTGCCGTTTATTATTCCTAGTCATTTCTTCCATAGGAGACTGAATCGGAGGTTCTAAGACAATCGCAAAAACAGGTGCACTTCCGCATTTTAGAATAAGGTCAATATCCAAAGCAAAAATAAGATTTGTGTTAAGTAAAACAATAAAATATTGATTTTGACTATACACTGTAGTGAGTTTTCACTCAGAAATCCCTAAATATATTAGCCAACATACAGAATTAAAAAAAAGTCAAGTTTGGAAAGAGGACTTTTTTTTTTTAAATGTTCTCAAATGTTGGCAAATTTGTGATCATGAAAATCCAATTTAATTTGTACAGAATATTTTTGTCTTGTAGTTCTTGTAGTGTAATTAATAGTTTGAATTAGTTGTAATTGAAAAAGGAGGGTTTTGGTAATATGATTAATAAGGGCAATACAAATAATAATATAGATCGAAAAACATACACACGTTTTTTATGAACCTTTGACATTCCATAGGTTTCTATTGTTTTTATACTGTACAATCTGTATTTTCCCCACCCTATCCCTAAAACCAACCCTTACAGGAAACTAGTTAAACTTACAAGATTTTATTCATATGCATTTTTTATGTATTCATATATTACATTCTATATTATAAGTTTTTGGAAAAATGGGGACATCAGTCCTCATAATTCACTCCGCTCATAATTCACCATATTCGTGTAGTATAATTTGTGTCTTGATACAATACAAAACACAGACACAAACACAAACTGAACACGATTCAACCCAAAACCTTAAACCTTTTGACTTAAATTTGTACAAACACTGGAAAAAAAAGGAAATAAAGCACATTCACTCACAAACTTTGAAAACTGCATTTTACTCAGTTTTGACCCTTTACTGCCTAATCAAATTGTACACATGTATTTACATATTCAAAGACATAAAAAAGATAACTATAACAGAAAAAACAGCAGGATCTCATCTGGCATCAAACACGACCACTGGAAACAGAAGTTAAGGGAAAAACTTAAAAAACACAAGACAAAGATCACAAAAATTGAGATACTAACCTAATAGCGTGGAACCAAGTTTAACTTAACATTATTAAAAAAAAATTAAAGTAACAGCTCATCCCCCCAAAATAATCATTTCCTGATACGTTTTAAATCATTTAAACAGAAAAAAACTAGGAAAATGAAATTGCATTAATAACGTTAATGGCCTATTGAACAGCTCATAACTACAACATTTAACATCTTTTATATTTTTAATGGTTAATGTTTGGAATAGCCCAATGAAATTAAGTAAATAATAGAATAAAGTTACTTTTGTTTGAATAAACTTATTTCAACCACCAAGTAGGGCTGTGCAATAAACAAAGTCTGTTGTTTTATATTATACTCTATCATTTACTTTGTTTACGGATGCAGACAGAAACATGAACAACGGCATCATATGGGAAATTTGCAATCTAGAAAGAACAATGTTTACATTTGGCATTTTATTTAGCAATATTTTTTACATTATGTTGGATTAATCGTTGTAATCATTTGGTATTTAAAGTGTGTTTTTATTTTATTAAGAATTTATTCATATTTCTACATCTTTACTAAAAACATTTGCTTTGAAGTTCTAAATGAAGTAAGAAATATGTTCACACATGAATGAGCGCATTTCTGAGTATATACTTTAAAATGTAAAGAACAAAAACAAATAGTGCTTGAGATGTGGTCAATATACTGAGGTTGGCGCCCTTTAATTTTCTCTAGGCCAGTTTCATTAGTTTGCCTTTTTTTAAAGGTCCTGTGAAACTCAAACTAAACTTTTTTTTAGATGTTAGTTTTAAGGATATCTATTAGCTAGTAGGGTTGGGTCGATGGACGAAGCCATCGTCGATAGACATATCGATGCTGAGCTGGCATCGCTAACCTCCACCCCACCGTAGCAGCAATCCGTTTGTGAAAAATACACACTTAGGCCCCGTTTACACTAAAGCCTGATTCATACTTCTGCGTCAGGTGACCGGCGTAACCCACGGCGCAGGCAACGCGCGTGGCTGTGCATTTATACTTCTGCGCGCTGTCTCTGTCGGTTTGCATTAACACTTCCGAAACGCTAGTTGGCAGTGAGGTGTAAATGTTCCTCTGTGTTGAGTTTCTTCGCTACTTTTTTGCATTTCCTGAACACTTCTGGGATGTACAAGTGGCTCAAACTCGCTCATTTTAAGGCAGGAACCGGCGGACGTGCAACAACTTTAACTATAAGGTAAACACAAAACAAAACTTTCCATCCGGAGCTCCATCACGGGACTCCACACTTGTAAACAATCGCTCGCGCGGCGTCGCGCCATTCGCGCAGCTCTCGGTCCCGCCCAGACTCGTCAGCGCTACCAAGCCGACCAATCACAGAGCTTGCGCTACGCGTTGTTGCGATGTGTAGTTACATTTTTTGAGAGGTGCACGTCAGTGACGGCGATGGCCACGGCGAAGGGCTATGCGTCAGCGCCGTAGCATACGCCGGTGTTTGACCCAGAAGTATAAATCAGCCTTAATACATCTTAGTTTTAAAATGGCATTTTAGAACAAAAGCGACCTACGTCCACACAGGCGTTTCATCTAGCATTTCTGAAAAGCCTTCCTTCCACTCGATATCGATGAAAATGCACACTGTTATGCCTGCAGTATACATTCGTATCAGAGCTTCAGACATTTTGGTCTTTTGAATCTATCAGGTAATGTGTCACAGCATCAGTACACTGCTTCGGTGTTTCGCTTTCATGCTTATACTTAGTAATTTTAGTGAAAACCTCAGATACAGTTGGTTGGTTGTGCACCTTTTTTTCCCAACCAAGTTTGTCAATGTCATTGTAAAGACACAGATCACTCTATTGGCCTATTCATGCCAGAGTCCAATGGAAAAAGTGATTGAAAGGTGGTAATTTGTGTGCAACTTTATTTATTTTTGATTTGGTTATGGGTAAAACAAAGACCTTGTGGGTCAGGTAGTTGAAACATGGGCTACAAATAATTAATCCGTTATGAATTAATAATTAATTCACTGACGCCTACAATAACGATGTTATCGTCCATTACTTTGTTTCACATTATACATCATATGATGGCAAATTGGTCAACATCGCCCAATCCTATTAGCTAGTGTGCTCCAAAACAGTGACACAATATGCATTTAGAAAATGTAAAACTAATAAACATCCAGAGCTTAAAATTACATCAAATATGTTTATTTGAAATTATTTTTCACATGTATGTGTATTTTCAAAATGTAGGAATATACGTGTTCCCCAGTTTGTACATAAGCTACCAGCAGCTGTGAGATTTCAGTTAATTTACTTTTATTATACATTAAACTACAAACTAGTGTACTTTTCTTGGCTATCAAGTAAAATAAAGAAGTATTGCAATAAGTTTTTTCTCCTTAACCTCTTACTAAGGCTAACTGTATTGTTGTATCCCTAGTTACTATATCATGACATATCTCATTATTAGCAAATGAGAGGATTATAGCGTGAAATTAATTTAATCAACTTTTTTTGTCGTATCAACCAGGCCTACCACAAAGCATTGGTTTAGTTGATAAAGGATACATCTTTTGGTCCTCTTTTTGTACATGATCCTGTAACCACACTCTCTGCATCTGATGGGGTCTCTGGCCTTGATCTCGTTTTCTGTGTGACACTCTGAAACAAACACACACACACACACACACACACACACAAAATTTCAAGCTCAAAAACAGACTAGATTGTGAACATCTTGATTGTTTAGCATTAAGAAAGAAATGACTGATTACAAAAATATAATCAATACATAAACCTTCTAATAGATCAATATACATATAGATTATAAACATAAATACAATCAAAAGAGCAATCACCTCCACAAATGTAGATCATTGGCTGTTGTTTGGGGGGCTGAATGTCTTTCTGAGAATCCATGGCTTAAAGCAAACACACAAACATGATTATATAGTCTAAATTGAATAAATTCATTAGAATATTACACATTATTTGACCTAAACCTATCGTAAGAGCACATTTAAGAGATGCTGCACTATGCACAAACACGTTCTTCCATTATAAACCCAACAAGACACGTAATTCATCATATTAAAATTGCAATAAAACCCCGCACATATCATTCATCCTGTCATTTATCAGTGTACAAACGAGTACGAAATGTAAACATTCAAAGCATTAGCTACCTTTCACGCGTGAGCTCTCTGTTTGCTTCGAAACGTTTTTCGTTCACGCATGCGCACAAGCGACATCACATCACAGTAACGAACAATGCTATTGGTTGGCAAGAATTGAACCAATCTCGTCATACGCCGCCAGGAGGGAGGACATTACCATTTTACGCAGAGACTTACAGGTTCATCTGGGACTTTTATTTTATTACTGCCAGCAATTTCAGATGGCGGAGAAAAACTTCGCGGCGACGTTTTTAAACATTCATTTAGTGACAGACGTACGTAACCATGAAGACGTATTATTTGTGTACTTTTTTGTTTAACGCTAATGGTTTATATTAATTCATGTGTAACGCTGTTATTAAACCTGTCCTGAAATTGTGAAACAGTCTAAACACATTTATTTACTAACAGAAATGTGTTATTATTAATGAATAATTATTATTTGATTTTTTGTATGAGTGAAATGTGTTTCGTACATTGTCACTTGATTTGTCGGTGTTGTTGACGGTCTCAGAGCAGGAAGTAACGTTAGTGAGTCGCAGCTGCAAAAACTGCCAGTAACGTTAAACGTTCAGCTCTCGGGTAAGTTTGCAAAACTTTACTGTCAGTATTATATACTATTATATGTTTTATAGGTATAACCAGATAGTCTGTACACTGTTAGTATTTATGTTTGTAATGTGTTTTTTTTTTACTGGCAGTCGTAATCCCGCCTCACCCTTTCAGTTTCTGTTTCTCGGCAATGTGTTTAATACATATCAACATTCCCATTTATAATGTGTTTATAACGAAGGTATATGTCAGAACAAGCTGATCCAGCCAATTGTCATTTATTCATATTAATAGAGTTACTAATTATTGATAGCTGTTTATCTTTTTGATATACTGAAATGTTTTGTTACTGTTTCAATAATACTGAAATACTGCTAATTCCTTAAATATTATTATGATTTTTTAAAACTAATGTTCATTTTTAGAGCAAAAGATAGATATACTTTGCATTTGAAGGTAATTCAAATCCACAGGACACATGTTGGCCATTAATAACTAAATCAAGTGTAAGCACAAGTAATTAAAACGGTTTATGAAATGTAATAACATATTTAAATTATTTAATATTCCATAGTTATCAACAGGTGTATGCATTGTAACTATTGAGGGCAGCAATATTCAGAAACTATCCCCAAAAGACATCTCAGAAAGATATTCATGTTTTGTTTTTATGTTGAATGTCTAGAATGATTGTATTGTAATCAAAATGGTTCCGTCAGTAACATTACAGTTATACAATAGATAATAAACAACAAATAAGACTTCCTATTAGCAGCGCTTTTGTACATTCTCACATTTTTAGGTCTCCCAACTTATAAATTTGGACGTTTTATATTGTTGTTCAAAATAAAATTAAACTAAGTTGAGTTCCCCTTTGCTAATTGACTCGCTTTTATTACAAAAACACAGAGTCTTTATGCATCTGCATGGCTGCAAGCACACACTTTTCAAAGGCAGCTAATGTCAAGAGAGATTTGTTATGAAAGTGTTCATTCCCTTTATTAATTAGGGATCACCACAGCGGAATGAATCATCAACTATTCCACCATGTGTTTTACACAGCAGATGCTTATCTAGCCGCAACCCAGTACAGGGAAACACCCATGCACTTTTGCATTCTCACACACTCATACACTACGACCAATTTAGTTTATTCAAGACACCTATAGCGTATGCCTTTGGATTGTGAGGGAAACAGGTGGACCCTGAGGAAACCCACAGGAACACGGGGAGAACATGCCAGCTCCATGTCAGAAATGACAACTGGCCCAGCCAGGACTCAAACCAGCGACCTTTTTGCTGTTAGGCGACAGTGCTACCCACTGCGCCATCGTGAAACGGAAATGCTTGTAGTTTCTGCTAACTCGACTCTACACCGTAACTTTTCAATCCAGATGGATGGGGCAACCATTACTGCATCAAAAATGGTGAAAAGCCTTGGAGTAACGATTGATGACCAACTAAACTTCTCTGACCACATTTCTAGAACTGCCCAATCATGCAGATTCGCACTCTATAACATCAGAAAGATCCGACCCTTCTTATCTGAACATGCAGCTCAACTCCTTGTTCAAGCTCTTGTTCTCTCCAAACTGGATTACTGCAACTCTCTACTAGCTGGGCTTCCAGTTAACTCTATCAAGCCTCTTCAACTGCTCCAGAACGCAGCAGCACGAGTGGTCTTCAATGAACCTAAACGAGCACATGTCACTCCGCTGCTCATCCGTTTGCACTGGCTGCCAGTTGCTGCTCGCATCAAATTCAAAGCTCTGATGTTTGCCTACAAAGTGACTTCTGGCCTTGCTCCTTCTTATCTGCTCTCACTTCTGCAGATCTATGTGCCCTCCAGAAACTTGCGTTCTGTGAATGAACGTCGCCTCGTGGTTCCATCCCAAAGAGGGAAGAAATCACTTTCGCGAACACTCACGCTAAATCTGCCCAGTTGGTGGAATGAACTCCCTAACTGCATCAGAACAGTCACTCGCTACTTTCAAGAAACGACTAAAAACTCTCCACTACACTTCCTAATCTGCAATTGCCTCTCTGAATATCACACTAACTGGACCAAAAAAAAAAAAAAATACTAATACTACTAATACTTTCCTTCTTAGACTTTACAGACCTGAAACTTGCCTATAGCACTTATTCATTGTTGCTCTTAGTTGTGTAAATTGCTTCCTTGTCCTCATTTGTAAGTCGCTTTGGATAAAAGCGTCTGCTAAATGACTAAATGTAAATGTAAAATGTGTCGCCCTATTATAAAATGATTTTAATAATAAAAAATGAAATCAATACTAAATAATATCTTGTGATTGTAGATTGATCCTGCAGCAGCACACAGATATGTCCTGAATCGGCTGTCTATGATGCAAAGCTTTGTGAATCTCATGAAAAAAACATGCCTATGTCACTTTTAAAAACCAACAAACAACAAAACTCTAAAGCCGATATTTCACCAAGTGATTTGTTTTTGATATTGTAAAAACTTTCACATGAGCTTTTGATGGTAACTGTGGCAGGAATGTCTGGTGTTCTGAACCTGCTTAACTTCATACTTCACGAGTGTTTCATGTTTCATCAGGATGGCGGACAGCCTGGAGGAGCGGAGTTTGGAGGTTCTGGATATTCCCGATGATTTGGATGATGATTTTCTCGTTCTCTACTTTGAGAACAAGCGGCGCTCTGGAGGAGGGAGGGTGGTCTCTTTGGAGAGACGTGGAAACCAAGCATTGGTGGTTTTTGAAGATGCAGAGAGTAAGACAACATGATCATGCTGTTTTAGAAATTAACTTTTAATTACAATACTGCAGGCTGCATGATGGGCCTGAACAATATTTAAATTGCGCATTGATATCGCAACATGTGTATCCGCAATAGTCGCATCGCAGGATTAGATTATTTACAAAATACAATAATGATCAAGTTATTTTACGTTTGATTGCTCAATTTTTATATTTAAATACTGTTAGGCCAGATAACCATAGCGCACTGTTTGTTTAACCTTTATTTGTCCTGTCATATTTATATATGCTTAATTTATTGCTTTTTATGCAGATGTAAGGCATAGAAAAAGCCTTGATCACCCTAGTCGATCTAAAATAGAGCTATTCAAGTCATCTAGTGAAATTATTTTCATATAGCAATATATATCGCAGCAAAACAAAATATTGCAATGGCAAATTTTTCCGATATCATTCAGCCCTACTGCATTATAATAAAAAAAAAACTGATATTTTTTCTTTCATAGAAACTGAGATGTATGTAGTTCAGGGGTGCCCAAACGTTTTTGTTTAAAGGGCCAAAAAGCATATATTATTATGAGCCGTGGGTCAAAGGTAAATCTACTAAACTATAGACCTTTTTCATGGAACGCAAAATTACCCATTATGCTTTGCGTGTATGCGCAAGGAGAATGCGAAGAACTTCCGGTCAGCAGCTGATGCGTGTAAACAGTCACATTTGGACAGCTTTGAAACGATAGTTTTAATCTATTTTACCTGCTTTTATCCTCTTTGAACTAATACTGTTGTCCATCAGCACCATCTCCTGGACTGATCATTTAAAGAAATGCGATCTAATAGGATGGAAAACAGCTGCTGTGAGGCATTTTCCCCTCGTTGTCAGACGGCATCTTCTGCAGTTTAAATGAAGCCTCGTCATCGCTAAAGTCAACATTTTCTCTTTATTTCAAATATATAGCCAGCCCAAAAAAATGTAATTCACCAAAATGTTTGACACACACAAGTAGCCTGTACTGTGCCACTGATACACTGTGACAAAGTGAAAATATAGGCTAGTGTCATTTCGAAATGACAGAAAAACACAAAACGTGGTAAAAACAACACACGAAATAAAACTCAAACGGCTCGCGATTAGAATGAACAGCAAATCAGCCAGCAGAGGATCAATAACAGACTTTTATTGGTCATTTTTGTAAATTGCTCGACTTTCATACCTGTTAAGTTTCATGCCAGTACTCAGGTTTGCTCTCTCTCTCTCTCTCTCTCTCTCTCTCTCTCTCTCTCTCTCTCTCTCTCTCTCTCTCTCTCTCTCTCTCTCTCTCTCTCTCTCTCTCTCTCTCTCTCTCTCTCTCTCTCTCTCTCTCTCTCTCTCTCTCTCTCTCTCTCTCTCTCTCTCTCTCTCTCTCTGTGTGTGTGTTAAAGAGCCGCTGAGCTAACACTGTATTTCTGATGGCAGACACGTGAACTAGGAGAACGTTTTTCTCGTATTTCTGACGCGCTTGAACCACATGTGACAGATTATAACGGCTTTAACAGACACATTTCTAAGTTGTGTGTCACAAAAACACTCTGTTATCTATTAAAAACGTCATTGAAACCCATTTTCGGAGCGCAAATTACCAGTTGTACACGCTATAAACGGAAGTTTTTAGCATTCTACCGGAAGACGCTGATCGCTATGGCGCTCTCCATGCAGCAGCCATGAAAAAGGTCTATATGATCACATTAAAGTTGCCATGGGTAATTTCCTAATTTATACTCATAATATTTAAAAATAAATAAAAGCATTGCTAATC